TGTTCTCTCATAACTTTCAGGGACCTTGGTTTTTCTGGTGATTCCTCAGACTACCCTTATCCTGAAAAAAACTCAGGTAGGCTTGGGGGAGGTTTGAATGGACGGCAGTTGTTTCCTGGGTTGTGTGGAGGAGGCACTGAGAAGTTACCTCTAGGATTTTGTGACTTGCTGTTAGGGCACCTAAGGACCAGTGGCTACCAGCTTTTGTAGGCAACCAGGTGCCCTGGAGGAATGTCTACTGACCACCTTAAACTTCTAGTTACTGGAATTGGGGGAAACTTGATAGGGCCCTCTGGTCCAAGTCTCCCAGCCCTCCTGATTCACCTGCACAGAATTGATGGTACATACACACACACACATACCCAGCCTTGCCACAGAAAATTCTATTCTTGTCTACTCTAAAGCTTTCTTTACCTGGCCCCTGAGAGCTCCTCTGCTCGCTTCTCTTTTCCTTCCTTCTGGGTGGGCAAAATGCTCAAAATACGTTGCCCAAAGAGCACCAGAACTTACTTATGAAGTTTTAGGGAGAGTCTTCCAAGACTCTGGGTAACTGCTGGGAACCCCAGGTCTGTGCTCCATTAGGTGCAGCCAGCCCCTAAAGGCACAGGGCCAGACACCACTGTGCTTGAGAGGTGAAAGGGATTAGCAAGGCCTGATCAAGCTGGATTCCCCTGGGTTCAGTCCTCCCCATTTGCTTGAACTTTGGGGTGTGTGTGTGTGTGTGTGTGTGTGTGTGTGTTTTAAAATGTCAAAGGGAAGATATTCAAGTGGGCCTCGAACTCCCTTTAGGAGATGAAATCTGAATCTTTTGTCCATACAAGGTGGGAGGTGGGGGGGAGCAGCTAGGAGGAAGAGGACTTATTGGAATGAAAATGTCAACACCAGATGTGGGATTTTAAATAAATACAGCTTATTTTAAACAGATGTATGAAAACAAAATAAGGTGGGGGGGTGGGGGTTGGGGTGTGGGGGGTGTGTGTGCGTGTGTGTTTGGGGGGGGGACAGGGAGCAAACACCAATACTGGGAGGCAGTCCTAGGACAGCAGAAATGTCCCCTCTGACAATAAGTGGCCCAGCACCACCAGCTTTCTCTAGCCAGCAGCCCCACAGGCTCTAAAGGCAGCCAGGAGAACTTGGCTTTGCCCTCACAACTGGAATTTTCCACAAGCCATGCATTTGAAGGGCACCTTCTCCTTCATTTGGCCATGCTACCTGTACCTTTATCCTCAGCCCCACCCACTTTTCCTACCGAAATCCTCCTCAGAATCTGATTTGAGAGATGTTCCTCCCCAAGACTGAGTAAACTCTGGAAACACCTCAATGAGGGCAGTGTGAAAGGAAGGCTCACGGGTGACCAAACTAGCCATCTGTGTGCCTGGCACTTGAAGTGCCAGGCTGCCTGTAGCTGCTGTAATAACAGGGAAGCTCTCATGCCACTCCACAGCATCGTTCCCCCTTCCCCAAGCCCCAGGGATACAGTCCTATCTGTCATGGTCTTCTGTCTCCTCACCCAGCCTCCAGAGTGGAGGCTTCATGAGGATCCCTGCTTAGCAAGGTGATGAACCCCAGCAATTGGATTTCACTGGCTGCTTCTGCAGGGCCAGACTACATGGATGAGAGCCTGGCTCTCTTAGTGCTCCATCCAAATTCCCTAGGGACACGAGAGGGTGCCTTGTGGCATGGGAGGCACAGGCCTTTGTTAACTAATTGCTAAGTCCAGCTCATCCTAGAAAAGGGAGAGGGATGGAGAGCCAATGGCCCTTAGTCATGGCTGCATAAGGCACCCCATTACTTAGGGACTGGCGGGAGGAGGCTTCCGTGTCCCTTTCCCCTGTTCACAAAACTCACTAGGTGAGCTTTGAGCAGCCTTTTACACAAAGCCACATCCCTGGGACAGAGAATTCTTGGAACTGGATTCTTGATCAACTCTCGTTTTCCTGCACTTGTTATAGGACTGCCACATTCGTGTGTGCTCTGAGCTACCCTCTGGTTTTGGTTTACCAAGGCCTGTTCAGTGATCTAAAGAAAAGCATTCTAGGAGCTACCAGGGACAGGCAGGAGTCTGGGCTGACTGATGGGTCTCATTAAAGCTGCAGTCAGGTCTCAACGATGCCCTTTGGGCCTTCTGCAGCATGGCACGCTCTACCAGGCTTTGTGTGCTCCTGTGAGCAGATGGATGAATTGTTGGTAGCCCAGCTTTTCTTTCTTGTTCCCTTCCCCACCCCCTTTTGGCCACAATTGTCATTAACAAAAAGTGGCCTTCTTAAGGGACTACGGCAGCAGAAAGGAACATTTGGGAACACAGCTGGAATTTGTTAGCTATTGGGCATTGGGTCTTTCAGGGGTTGCAACTGGAGTTGGGACCGTGGGGGGGGGCAGGAGCCACTTCCTATGCAGTTGTGAAGGTAAAAGTGAGGTCCCCACCTAGTCTTATAGAACCTCATAGTGATAGATAACTCAGTATGTTTTTAAAAAGGACCGAAATCCGTTTTGAACAGCACCGGCTAGCTGTGCTGCTGTGTTTCAAATGACAAAGCCCCCTGCATTGAGGCATATCCCATGATCCTATATTTAGAAGTGCCACGTTTCCCCTGCCCCACCCTTCCCTCCGCACCCCTAACCTCAGTTCAGCACATCTTGGCCCTGGGGGGTGGAGGAGGTGGAAACAAAAAGATTAGCTTTCCTCTAACTTATGTGGAATGGCTCTCTGTTAGGGAGATTCTCCAGTGTGGGGCTCCTCCAGCTGCTGGCTCCACTGGCCAGTCTGAGGCAATGTATGTCAGCTGGGGCATCAAGGAAGGGTTTCTAAAGCACAGGCAGCTGGGTTTACCTGAGGACTCTTGCCTCACCTGCTAACTGGGCTGCATGCTCTGTGCGTTGTGCAGGGAGCCATTGGGAGGAGGAAGAGGGCTAACTGCACACTGGTGCAGGGGAGGGGTGGCAGGGGAGAGGCACTGGTGGCATCACAGAGTCACAGGGGCAGCCTTTGGTCTCATTTTGAAAATCAAGACCAGGTTCAGGCAAATGATTCCCAATTAAGCACAAATAGAACTTTTCTTTTTCAATTCAATTCATTTTCAATTGAATCAAGGACTGTTTTTGGAACTGAGTTCAATCCAATCCAACAAGCTTTTAGGAAGCCCTACTGTGTGCTAGGCACTCTGCTTGGCACTGGGGACACAAAGATGATCGTGAGACAACCACTGCCCCAGTTCCCTTTGTCAGTTCCCACCCTACCCTTCCTCTGCCTCTCTTCCCTTTCATTCTCTCTCCAACCCAGCCTTTTGTCCCAAGCTCTCATCCCTTCATCCTCTGCTCTGTCTCCTGGCTTCCCCACTTTTTCTGTGCCAACCTTCATCTTTTCTTCTCATCATTTTTCCTGGTTCCTTGCTTTTCTCTCTCCACACCCTCTCCTCCCACCCCTAAAACAAAACAAAATACCAGACTAAGGACTAAAAATGGGGAAAAGAACAAAAACAGCAAAAAGGCTAGAAAATCCCCTCTACGCTCTGTTTTACAGAGGATGTGCCTAGGTAAGGTGGGCTTCAGCCACTCTTTCAAATGGTTTATTCTTGAAACTTGACCAGATGGTTGTCAACTTTCTATGGCGGAAGGAATATTTAAACAGAGCAATGAATGTGGATATACTTTTTGGGGGAGGGCAGAACAAGCTTGTAATCTCATTGATATAGGGAATTCCTGGTGCAAAATCTTCTGCCTGTGCTCACTAGTAACTTAGAGTCTTAGAGATTTGTCCGGGGGTATTGAGAAGTGAAATGACTTGTTCATTGTCACCCTGCTAGCCAGGATAAGACTTGAATCCAGTCTTTATGACTCCAGATCCATCATTTTATCCACTATACAGAGCTCTGTGTGGGTGCATGTGTGGATACAGCTTTTTTGGAGGAGGGAGTGAAGTTGCCAGATCTGTTATTTCATTACAGTAGGGAGCTTCCAGTGCGGAAAGTCCCTCCACCCACACAGATTGGCAATTTGTGATCCAAGACTTGTAATCTATGGTCTTAGAGAGTCACGTAGAGCGCTGAGTTGTGACTTACCTACGGTCACCTAGCTAGCATAGGTCAAAGGTGGGACTTTAGCCTAGGTCTCCCTGACTCCAAAGCCATCCCCCATCTTCCATGCCACACTGACTCTTACAACACCCAGTGCACATTATAGCACAAATGACAGTGCACTTCCTGAGTCTCTGTGGGTGGGATAATGTGACTTAGCATTTTGTGGGGCTTCAGGAGCAATAATCACAGTCACCTTGTGCTAATCAAACCCAGACCACGCAGCTGAATTCCTCCAAACACCATGCCAGTCCAAGAGAGTGGATGGATTCCTAAGGTGTCCAGGGCTTGTGATTGAACTCTTTTTGCATCTGCCTTGTGTCACTGCTGTCTCAGTGTGACAGCAGCAGAACACAAGCGGGACACAAGCGGTTAGTGGGACCTGAGAGCTGCTAATTAAAAAGAAACGCAAGTGTGATGCTAGGGATTGGAGCTACTCGCTGGGCTTGGTGGGGTCCTCCTGGTTGCCTGTTCACATGGGAGATGCATCAAGGCAGAAACATAATCTCTGAAAATCCCTCCCTGCTCCCTTTCTGCCTGTTTCTCCTTCGGTGGTAGAGTAATTGCTTTTCCACCAGTTTCTAGCCAGATAATAGAAAGAAAGATGGAAAGTATTTTCTCACAGTAAGCCTTGCTTCAATGAAGATTCTTAACTCCTTAAGGCCAAACATTACACAAGGCCAGGTATAAACTGAAATGCAAAGAACACCTTCCCCTGCTGTCCTGCCTTGGTGAAGTCATGATTCATAGTTAGAAATAATAGAAAGCAAAATCCAGATTCTGTCACATCACCAGAATACAGACACACAAATGACCTAATGAGCTGAATTTTTAAAAAATGCATAAACCACAGTATTTTGCAAATAGGCGACTTCATTTGAGTCTGCAGGAATGAAAGCACTTAGAGAACATGGTGCATTTACTTACTTTTTGGGGTTCGAGGTTCCAGAAGTGCTTGCCTCCCAAAAATATGAGAGTGAGGGAAAGAGCCAGGATACCGAAGACCAGTCCCCCAATCTTTAACGTCTTGCAGATCTTCTTCTTGGACTTTGGTGTCTCCCCCTAAACAAAGAGCAAAGAGAAACCACACACACACACACACACACACACACACACACACACACACACACACAAAAGGGGAAAAAAAAACCACCACTGTTAAAACACTGAGAAATCTTTCAAAGTTGTTTCTACTAGTTCTGCTGCCCTGGACAAAATCTGGTGGAGCAGGGAAAAAAGCAAAGTGACTCACATCTAGAAAGTGACAGTCCTCACAGTTGTCTGGAGAGTTCTTTGCCGCCACCATCTCTCAGAGTGAAGCTCTCTTGCCTGCGCTCTGAGAAGACTGCAAGACCACTGCCGAGGTGGAGTGAGCTGCAGCTGAGCTGGATCCCAGATGCCAGAGGAGAAGCTGGATTTGTATGACTCAAATCTGTCCTACCAGAGGCTGAGGTATCATAGGGGGGCCTCTGCTGCAGCAGGGTGTTACGTAGGTCCCGTCGTGCATGCATAGAACATGCACGTAGTGAATTCCGCCCAGAATGGCAAAGACCAAAGGTTATAATGAGAACTCTTGGCTTGGAGGAATGGGGGGGGGAGAGCATGTATTAGGTTGGAAAGGAATCAAACCTAGGCACATTGAAATAATTTTTTTTACTATGAACTCAAAATACCAGTGGAAATAAATGCTATGTACCCCCAAACAAAGGAAGGCAGGAATGGAGTCCTGGCCATCTCTCTACTTCTCTCTTTTCCCCGACTACCTTTTTTCCCCTTCTGCCTTTTCTTCATGGCATTTTCTTGAGGTTCCTTTTCCGCACACTGTGAAGTTGTTATGATATCGCTCCATCCTACCTTTTCTTCATTCTCCATTTTACTTGCTTTAGTACCAGGTTTTCAATGGTATATTCTTGTCAGGGTCCATGAGGAGACACCCAACTTCTAGGACTAAGGAGGCAGTGGTCCCACTGTGAGTTGCCCCGGTCACACATCATCTAGAGTACCACCTTCTGTTTGGGGTGCCATCTTTCAGAAGGACATCAATAGCTGGAGAACATCCAGAGGACGGCAAACAGGATGGCAGAGGGCCTGGAGTTGATGCCGTATGACGATTAGGTGAAGGAACTGGGGGTGGTTAGTCTAAAGAATAGAAGGCTCTGGGGGGCACCTGATAGCTGTCTTCAAGGACTTAAAAGCTGGAAGAGGAATTTGCCTTGTTCTGCTTGGCTCCAGAGGGCACAAGCGGGAGCAGCCATGGAGGGAGGGGGAAGTTGCCAAGAGGCCAGTATAGGTTGAGAAAAAGGAAACAGTTTCTCCTCACGATCTCAAAGTAGATTGAGCTGCCTTGGGAGGGAGCAGGATCCCCCTCAGTGGAGGCCTGTTTTGGATTGTCAAGGGTTTTATAGAGGGCATTCTTTTTTATTTTTTTGAGTATGGAGTAGATCAGAGGGCCACTGAGGTCCCTTCACACTCTAATATTCTGTGATTCTCTTTTACTTTTGGAGGTTCCCCGGAGTTCTCTGCACATCTAATGGCACATCTTTGGCCACGTTATGATTGGAAACTCACCATTACTCTTCCTGTGCCAGGATGCCATTTCCCCCCTTCTATTTGGAATTGAGCATCAACTTTGTCCATGTTTCAGATAGGAGAGTCCTGGACCAGTCCCTTGATCCTTTTAACTTCCTGTTGTCCCTCCACTGGGCATTGCATGTGGCATTGGTTCTTGCCTTCTGAATGGGCTGCCAAACTGATCTCTCTTCAATATGACTAAAACAAGACTACTTCACACAACTGGCCAGTTGTTGTACTTCAATACTTAGACGGATCTGTGATCTCCTCCAATAAAGCTGATCACAACCATTTTGTTTGCCCATTGTGTCGGAGTAACCTTCCTCTAGCCCTCTTGATGTTAGTGAACATTTGAACCATTCATTTGTTACTTTTTGCTTTTGCTTCATGACCAATCAAACCATTCACCTTTCTGATGCTTTTGATTTTGCACAATTCCTCATTAGTGCTGTGTTGCTGCCTACTCATGCCCACCATATGCCTTGCCAGTGCCATTTGGATGACCCTTACTTTTTGAGACTGGGGGTTTTTGTGAATTATGGTCATATGACGTCGCTGGAAGAATATTGGTGCTGAAAAGATCGACTTTAGTTTGAGTTCATTAAAAGAACTTCAATTTCCCAAAGACAATCCAGCTTGTTCTCCTTTCTTCCAATTCTGGATCTCATTCAATATTCACTTGGGAAAGGAATAAAGGCACAAGACTGGGTAGGGATAATGGCATAACTTTAAATTCGGAAATGTCTAAAAAGGCCTGCATCTCCTTGATGAAGTGGATAAAGCTTTCCAAGAAAGGGAGACACTCCTTCTTTGGACCTCTCCATAATGCTGAAGCTAGTGGGGCCTGCCTATAGAGTGAGAAGAAGATAGCTAGTGATATCCCCATATGTCAGTTCTCTGCTGTAGCCATACTGGTTTTCTAAACATACCAAACCCTCAAGATCAGGGACTGATTTGCTTTTCTGTTTGTATCCCAGCACTTAGCACAGGGCTTGGCATGTAGTAAGTGCTCAGTAAGCATGCTTTTTCATTCATTCATTCATACATTCATTTGTATGTCTGTACAAGATATAGATACTAACACATTAGCTTTATGAATTGTTCATCCAACTGCATATAGCCTGGACAGTAGGAATCCTTTATCTACTTGGTTTTTCCTGGGTCAGGCCCTAAATGCTTTGGAGTAATTATAAATCTCATTTGGGGAGCTCTTCAGTGTTCTAGGTCTTGTAGCAGTCAACCCATTATCATCTATTCATCTATAATAAGAATATCTGGAAGACCTTACCTTCTATAGGGGCTCTCTCTTCCACTGGATTTTGTGCTAGGTAGGCATCCTCCTTGACAATGGCAAACACCTCTGGCAATCATATGTCTAATAATAGTAATAGTAATGGATAGCACTATGCTAAATTCTGGGGATACAAATACAAGTGAGTCATACAGTCCCTGCCCTCAAGGAGCTTACTGTTCTTTTTTTTTAAGGCAGTTGGGGTTAAGTGACTTGCCCAGAGTCACACAGCTAGTGAGGATCACATGTCTGAGGCCGCATTTGAACTTAGGTCCTCCTGACTTCAGGGCTGGTGCTCTATCCACTGTGCCATCTAGCTGCCCCGAGCTTACTGTTCTAATGGGAGAAGAGGACACATATGGGGAAGTAGAGTTGGAAAGTAGAAGCGTAACATGGTTTGGACGTGGTCAGGAAGTAGCATGGTGGCCTGGTTCTAGGCAAGATAAAGTGAAGCCTGGAGTCCCAGAGGTAGATTTGGAGTTCTAGGAGGAGAGCCAGAGCACAAGTGCCATGGTTTGGAAATTGTCTTTCACTCTACTGAATCAAATGCTTCATATTCATTAAGCAGTAAGCAGAGTGGGATCCTTTCAGTCAGTTGTGTAACTGGGGAAGATGTGGTCTGCTACCAGATATTGTTCGCACCCATCTCTTCCCTTCTCATGCCATCATCAGGATTGTTGCCTTCACTGACAAGAGTGTGGGTCATTCCACATTCATACTCAATTACCTTTCTACAGAGTGGAAGGAAGCACGTTCCAATATCAGTCATCTGGAACCAACACCGATCATTGCACTTGATCTGAATTCTGTTGTCTTTTAGCATTGCCTTCATCTATATTGCTATAGCTGTCATGTGTATTGTTCTCTTGGTTCTGCTTTCTCACCAGTTCATACAAGTCTTCCCATGTTTCTCCAGATTCCTTATATTTGTTATTCCTTGTTGTTGTTTAGCATTTTCAGTCGTATCCAACTCTTTGTGACCTCATTTAGGGTTTTCTTGGCAAAGACACTGGAGTGGTTTGCCATTCCCTTCTCCAGCTCATTTTACTGATGAGGAAACTGAGGCAAACAGGGTGAAATGACTTGCCCAGCGTCACACAGCTAGTAAGAGTCTGAGGCTAGATTTGAACTCAGGAAGATGAGTCTTCCTCACTCCAAGCCCAGTGGTCTATCTCCTGCAGCGCCACCTAGCCGCCCTATACAAAGGTACATACACACACAAGATAACCTCAGTATACATGGAAGGCAATCTCAGAGAGAAGGAACTAGCAGTGGGGAGTGAGGGGAAAGGGAAAAGGAACTGGGAAAGAGCTCCTGCAGAAGGTGAAATTTGAACTGAATCTTGAAGGAAGCCAGGGAAACCAGGAGGTGTAGATGAGGAAGAATATTCCATGCATGGGTAACAACCAGTGAAAAGGCATGGAGTCAGAAAGGGAAAGAGGGAGGGGAGGGAAGAGAATATGCCGGGCACTGTGTTAAGGCCTTTACAAATATTATCTCATTTAATATTCACAACAACCTCGAGAGGTAGTTGCTGTTATAGCACCCATTTTATGGGTGAGGAAACTGAGGCAGGCAGAGGTGAAGTGACTTGCCCAGGGTCATGCAGCTGGTAAGTGTCAGAGGTCAGATTTGATCTCAAGTCTTCCTGGCTTCAGACCCAGTGCTTTATTCACTGCAGCGTCACATAGCTGCCAAGATGGAGCATCATGTCTGAGGAACAGCAAGCAGGTCATTCATTGTTGCAGGATTGTAAAGTTTATGGAAGGAAGTAGAATGTAATAAGACTAGAAAAGTGGGAAGGGGCTTTTAATGCCAGTTGATCCGGGAGGTAATAGGGAGCCACATGGGACGTGGTCAGACCTGCTCTTTAGGAAAATTCATTTGACAACTAAGTGAAGTATGGGTTAGAATGGGGAGAGGTGTGATGAGGGCTTGTACCAAGGTAGAGGCAATGTGAGTTGAGAAAAAGGGAGGTATGTGAGAGCATATGTGTGTGTGTATGTGTGTGTGTGTGTGTGTGTGTGTGTGTGTGTAAGTAGTTATTATGAAGGTAGAAAGAACAAGATTTAGCAAGTGACTGGGTTATGTGGGGTGAGTTTGAATGAGGTGTCAAGGATAATGTGGAGGTGACTAACCTGTGTGAGTGTAGGAGGATGGTGTTGCTGTCAATAGTAATAGGGAAGTTCAGAAGAGGAAAGGCTTTGGGGAAAAGTTATAGTAAGTTCTATTTTAGACGTATTTGTTTTGAAATGTTATCTAGTTTGAGACATCAAGACCTTGTGAAATTGGAGCTCAAGAAAGAGACTAGGGTCAGGTATATAGATCTGGGAAACATTTGCATAGAGATTATAATTTCACCTAGGGGAACTAATGAGATTGCCAAGTGAAATAGGATAGAGGGAAAAGAGGAAAGGACCCAGAACAGAGCACTGAGAGACACCCATGGTTAGTGGATGTGACCTGAAAGGAGCTAGAGGAGAGGTCAGACAAA